AAAGGGAAGGTTAGAAAAGGTGGAGAATGACTCTTCCCAGAGGCACACAGTGAAAGAACAAGAGGCAATGCCACAGATTGTAGCAATGGAAATTTCAGCTGCATATCAGGATAAAATTTTTTTACCATGAGAATGGTTAAGAAATACAGAAGTTGTGAAACTTCCATCCTTGAAGACTTCTAAAACCCGACTGGCTAAAACTCTGGGCAACATGATAGAACTTTTAAGTTGGTGCTGCTCTGAGCAGGAGACTGGATTAAATGACCTTGAAAGGACTCTTCCAGCATGAATTAATCTGTGATTTTATAAGTCTAAGTTATCTTAAATGTCCAGTTATTTGTGGTGGGTAGGAGAGTAAGTGTTCAGAAACCTTTAATTTCCCTTAAAACTTCTGGCAGAAAACAGCCTGATTACATATTTTCCTTTATGTTTGCATTTTAATAACTACAGAAAATTCAATTCTTTGCATTATATTGAACAATTTCAATTTTAAAAAACTGCATATTTTAAACTTATGCTTTTAAGTTCCCCCTGTTGCAGTACAGGGTGATATAGAAAAGTAAGTAACATAATTTGAATGCAAATAGAAACGCCTTTTTTTTGTTTGTTTGTTTTGGTTTTATTTTTGTTTTTGTTTTAATTAAGAACAGTTGCTCAGACCTCTAAAATGAATAATGAGGATCCACAGTTTGACTACACCCAGTGATCTATGTACACAACATCATTTATGTGCTTAGAGATCTTAGGTGCCAGAGCTAACCTTTCATATTCTTATTCTACGTGTTTTCAGATCAGAACTGAAGTACTGAATTTACATTTATATTTGTTATTAAGCTTTTTCTGACAGCTGCAGTATATGGAGTAAGATCCAGTATGTCAGCCTCACTCAACTGCCACAACTTCATCTCTGAAATAGGCTATGTGGTACAGAGATTAAAGACAAATATACAGTTGTGACTTCATCATTAAAAGGTATGTAAAAATGAATGTAGAAGAGAGCTAAATCATGCTTAGTCAATGGCATTTCTTGATATCGGACTGTTTGACTTTCAAAGATCTAATTTTTATGTAAAAATTATATAAGTATAACCTAATGATTTAATATAGTAAATGTAATTTTTTCCCCCATAAATAAGGAAGACATCAAGAATACAATAAAAATAGAAATGAAGTAAATTTTGACATTTAAAATGAGCTTTTCAGACATGTACTCTTGGTCATATTCACACAGTACTCTGAAAACTATGGTAAAGTGATTACAGAGCTCAGCCAGGCAACAGTGAGAGGAGAATTCTTGGATCTGCTCACACAAATAGAATGCAAAGAGAACCAGAAGTACTGATTCAAGGATGGGATTCTGTGCAGCAAGAGCTGCTTTGGACCCTGAGGCCCAGCTGGTCCCCCTTGTCGAGCATCCAAAATCCAGCCTCTGCCTTGAGTTCCAGCAGCTGACAGAGACAGAGTCTCCACTCCCACGATGGGACCAGTGCAACCTCAGGGAAGGGTTTCTTTCAGCAAAAAGCGTTTACTCATTTCAAAACTAAAAATGGGAGTATGATAGTTCTTGTTTTCTTGTTCTGCCTATTTTCTGCTTGTGGTATCATTAGACATCATTAGGGAAAGCTTTCAAATGCCATGAATCAAGAGTGTTCTTAATCACATGAGTATTTTCTGCTGTTGTTCTGAGATAGCTGAATTTATCTCCTTGTGTACTTTCCTGGGTTTAAAAAAAATCATAGGAATATTACATTTTCTCAGAAAGGCTTTCTATTATATTTTCCTTTTTTTAAATTTCATTAGTATACTTCAGATGTGTCTCATTCAAGATAATAGATTATGCTTTTCATGTGCTACATTTGGTTAGCCACAGGCAAAAATAAATATTACCAGTCCTGACACCTTAAAGTCCTACTTATAGTGAGTATGGCAGTCACCAGTAAGCAAAACGACACATAGACTAATTAAATATTTTTGAAGAATAATACTGAAAAGAAAGTCTGTGAAGTGGGTTTTCTAGGCATTTATTCACATATCCACATAAAAATCAAGGTTAAGAACAAGGAATTGTACTTCCTCTTTGTTACAAACCATTCTTACAAAGCCATAAATATTCCATCTTGCTGTGATAGAGTTTCAGCAAAGATTACTGTGCCTCAAGGACAGAAAATACTTGGTGTGACACCATTTTCCACAAGATCTCTATGATTGTAAAGGTGTATAATGGAAACAGATTTACATGGATGTTCACAAATAGTCCTTGAATCTCCTCAGTCTCTTTAGAGATGCTTATCTCATTGTTCTGAAAATTTCTGAGTCTTTACAGACCTGTTTCAGTATAATAAGGAGAAGTTGTAAAAATGTCATGACCTCCACCTCCACAAGTAAAATAAAGATATTAACAACTGAAATATGTCCTCTCTATTTTCTCAGCAGGTGATGATGGAAAAATTGTTGTACGCATAGAATAAAAGCTTTCCTAAAACTTTGGAACAAAACCTCTGCCTTCTCTTTATTTTATTTTGTAGTAAGCTATAAATAATACATATAAAAATAAACTATACCAGTCTGAACTATTATTAGGCTGTAATTTTAACCTCTCAATTCTTAAAGCCATGCTGCACAGGATCCTCTCTCATGGTTTACAACCTTGGAGGCATCCCTCTGGTACTTCCCTAAAAGTTGGTTTTTTTTATTCTCTATTTAGAATTAGTTCAAACCCAGAGCTTTTCTCAAGGTTCTACATACCATTTCAAACAAAGAAAATACCTAGGTTTATCACCACAGATTTAAAATTGCAGTTATTCCCAGATGCAAATATAAATAATAAAGATTCAGTGCAAGATTTATGAATAGGCCTGAGAAACATTACACTTGAAATGATCTATTCTGTAAGATACCTACATGTATAAAACAGCCAGAGCCTCTGAAGTGTCTAGAATGGTGGGGCATGTTATATCAACCTGAACAGTGGCATATCTTTGCATTAGATGTATATTTCCAAGAGCTAGATGTTCTAGAATATTTCCCATGTGGTGAAGTCTTTACGTAGCATTTGAGTTGAAAAGGAGAGAAGAATGATGCCCCACATGTGAATTAGATATTTTCTAGTTAATGAGTTGATCTCTACCATTTTGTAAAATCCATTTTTCTCTGAACTCTTGCTTTTCTCTCTCTCTTTACCAACTCTGGTGCTCTGAAAGCCAATTGAAGTGGAAAGAAGTGGGTATTTCAAGGCAGATCACATCACTGGAGCAAATAATACCTCTAGAGACCAAATAAAAGATTAAACTGCATTCAAATATAGACCTGAACCCTATGACTGTTTGGGAAACTTTCTAGATTATGATTTCTAGACTTCTGAAAAAAAAATAAAATAAAAAATTCAAGGTTTAGGTACCATTTGTGGCCCATTTTATTTCCAGCTAGCACTTACTAGTGTTCTTACACTGTTTTTACACCCAGTGCTCAAACTGCTACTTCTCCCACCCCCATTCACTTCCCAAGGCAAGGTAAGCATCCTAACATTTACAGGTTTAGGAATGCATGTGGCTGAAACAAGCAGGTGGAAAGAGGGTGGATTTGGTTGAGTATAATTGTACAACAGGTGCCAGGTTTGTTATATATCTTAGTTCTCCTGGCAACAAAGAAAGAATTTTGACCAAATAAAAGATAATATATGCAAGTTCTTTTATTTGCTATGTTTGTGCCAAGCTTTTAATGAGATTTGGCCTGTCTGAAAGTATAAAACCAGGAAAGGGTAACGTTTTACCTGCAGAAAATTACTTTAAACCCTCAGGAAATGAAATTCTGATCCTTTTGAAGCCAGCATCTTTGAAGAAACAGAATACATGGGGATGAAATGCCTTGTATTTAGTAGTTTTTGTACTTTGGGGGTGATTTCAAAGAAACAACACGAAAAGAAGTATCTCTGCCTCATTTATTTTTCCTATAATTATGTTTAACCTTCTGCATAAAAAGGTATCAGTAACTCATAAAGGATCATAGAATTACATCTGTAACATACAATTGGGCTAAGCTCCCTATAATCAGGTAAAAAATTAAAATCTGAGTCAAGAAGACAATGTGATGTGTTCAACACGAGGGATTCTCCTTGATGGTCAGTTCATAGCACTGTGAGCATCATTCAGCAATAACTAGACTCAATTGAAGCATATTACCCTAAAAAACATTGTTGCCACTGCTTCTCTCTTATCCCACAAATTGCCAGCTTTCTGGGAACACCTTGAAAAGTAGGAGTGTTGGTATGAGACCATTACCAACTGCTACTTTATGCATTATCACACTGTCAATAAAATTCTATAAATATACCATTCTTAGGAACATATATTTTTCCTATAGATTTTTACTATGTATAAGTGTTCAAGGAAAAATTCCTACCAGAAGCATAAACTTAAAGAACACTGATGAAGCCAAATGGCAATCTGTTCTGGCACCTCAATTTACGTCTTAATTTAATGAAAGACCCCTTGTTTTACAAATATTATACCATGCATAAGACCCCTGAAAGGAATCCAGCTAAGTAACAGCAAGCTAAAAGGTACAATAAATATTTGTTTGTCCCTGAGATGGCAATGTTTTGTATTCATGAAACCATTAATTAATGTCTCTCACGCGGGTGGAATTTGCATTCCAGGGCTACTGAGGGTGACAAAAAGAGGTAATTTTCTTTTAAAGAATATATACAATTATTGTTGTGGGCATCAGAATGTATACGTTCATGACTGTCTGGTTGAAAAATTTCTAACATACTCAGAATATTCCAAATTTACATCATACTACCACATTCATTTAGGTACCGCTAAAAGAATGAGTAAAACACTTGAAAAATTTCTAACATACTCAGAATATTCCAAATTTACTAGTATTTATCATACTACCACATTCATTTAGGTAACGCTAAAAGAATGAGTAAAACAGAGCACAGCCTGGGGCGTGTTAACAAAGAGTTGACAGCTGAAATGTATCCAGTGGTATATTACCTTTGAAAGGTCTCCAGCCTCCAAATAGAAGCAGATAACAAACACGTTCCATGTAACCCAAAGGACCAGCCAGACAGCATACTGTAGGGAGGAAGAGAGAAACACAGAATTAACAATTCCACTCTCAGCTGAGTCAAATTTAGTTCATTAGCTCAATCCAAGAGAAAAATAGATTATAAGTATGGGGCCTATGAATAAAAATGTTACACACAGAAAAGAGTTACCAATACATTCTTCCCTCTTCCTGACAGTGAATAGTGACCTAGTGAGTACTCAGTCACAGCAGAAAACCTGCATCTCAGGAAACAGTTGATAAATCTGACATTTTAATTTGGGGCTAAGCTGTTTCTTCAGATGGGTAATGCTACAATAGAGAGGCGTGTAATATCAATTAAATCAATTATTAGTAGTAGTTATTATATAACTGTATTAATTAGAAGTAGAGAACTGATCATTCAACTATAACTTACTAAATAACAACCTAATTGAACTAGCCCTGGATTTTTTTTCAACATTTTGTAGAGAACTGATCATTCAACTATAACTTACTAAATAACAACCTGATTGAACTAGCCCTGGATTTTTTTCAACACTTCAGATTTAGTCTCAAGAAACCAAGCATATATAACCTAAAGACAATCTGTCTGTCTGTCTATCTATCTATCTATCTATCTATCTATCTATCTATCTATCTATCTATCTATCTTGGCAGTATTTCTACAAAACATGGGGGAATTTTGTTGCCTTCCAAGGCGAGGTTCATAATTATCCAACACCTTCCAGAGAGAGACTGCATTTTAAATTGCCAACTTTCTTTGGGGTTCTAATTTTTTTTTTTTTGACTCAGAACGTACAGGAGAAGCATTAATATTTAAGCAATATCTGTTCATTGGCAGTTGCCAAACATCTTATTTGTGTATCTGATGTGAGTAATGGAATACAATTTTTCTCTCCTTCTGTCCACTATTTTGCTTCTGTTTTATATTCATAAGGTCTTATGTGCTAGGACTGGAAAGTAAATTCCCTTGCTGTACAGCTGGAGGATCCTGGACAATACAGGCTGACCTGCGGTTGCTAATCTTACCTGATGTTTTATTTAAGAATTTCCCTTAATTATTCCATCACCTAATAAACATCAGGACCTTCAAATGTTTTTTCTGATGGCTGCTGTAGCCATCCTCTAGTCCACAAATCAAAGGATCCTGGACAATACAGGCTGACCTGCGGTTGCTAATCTTACCTGATGTTTGTATTTAAGAATTTCCCTTGACAAATTATTCCATCACCTAATAAACTTCAGGATCTTCAAATGTTTTTTCTGATGGCTACTGTAGCCATCCTCTAGTCCACAAATCAGTTCTGCATGTTTGTTTACTTCCTTCCACAAGGCCTTGCATACATGTGAAATATGACAGCGATAGGACACCATTCCCTACCTGCTAGAGTTGAGAGCTGCTTTCTCCTTTTATATCACTACCCCACTTCTCACAAGTGTTTACAGACTTACTCTTCGTGTTTTGTAGCCTTTTCTCCAAATCATACTGATTACATGTTGATAGCACCTTTTCCAAATCAGGAAGCACTATTTTCTGCACACCTCCAAGTGTTCACATTCTGAATAAGCAGACTATATTTTGGACTGCATACTATCCATTCCATACAAAAAACCCCAAACATTATAAACTATGGTTTGTCATTAATGACAATCTTTTTATCTTCTTTCATTAACAACATATGCAGGATTCTTCTTGCATTTCTCTTGCAAGTGATGTTCTGCATTACACTGTCTATTATTCAACATGCCATTTTCAACCTAATCTACTAGCTACTGTGAAAATAAACCAATTCTGCCATTTTCTAGGATTTAAAGTGAGACTATATAAAAATAAATATGACCAAAATTTAGATCTGTTCAAATTTCTTATTTTTATAGATAACAAAATAATTTCCAGACAGCCTAGCTATTAGTTGGACCATGTTCAGGTTTTAAAAATTTATGATAAAAATAGTTTTGATTTAATGGAAGCTAACACAGCTATAAATGCCTGAATTGCTTTATACAGAAGTAATTTCAGGTAATTTAAAGCATACAGATTACATATACTTTATAGGTCAGCTCTTTCTGGTCACAGATGACAGATTCATTTAGGTCAGAAGAACTCTCTGGAGGTCACCTGGTCTAATCTCTGCTCAAAGCACAACCAGCATGGATCAAGTTTTGCAGGGATTTATCCAGTTGAGGTCAGAATGTCTCCAGAGATGACCCAGGTAATCCACATCTAAACATTGAATACAGGCTGCTAATAAAACTTTGGAAAATAGGAACTTAGCTCAGTTGGAGAGTCTTAACAAACTCATTTAAAAAAAAACAAAAAAAAACAACAAAACTTTGAGACATTAAACATATTAAGCATTTAATTTTCCTGTAACTTTCTCACAGCACACCCCTCTTCACATATAACATGGAGCTTTATAATTACAAAAAAGAGAAGAAAACATCAGTTTAGATTCAATAACCCTAATTTGGCTTTGTTAACTTTGTTAACTTTGCAGCATTTTAACTTGTTGATTTTTGCCAATTTTTGTAATTTTCTAATGTTATATATTCTTATGAAGAAAATAAAAACACTCATTTTGATACATGAAGACAACTGGATTTCTTATAGTGAAAACTCTAAATACTGCATTTAGGTTGGTTTCTCAAAAGATACAAAATGTGCAATTTCTGTTCCCTTGAAAAATGTTTTTGTGCTCCAGAACAATTTTAAGCAAATTGGACAAAAGAATACAAGAAGATTGGAAGATACTTTTTCCACAAAAGTTTCAGGAAAATGGGCATACAAATAGTAATACAAACTATTAAGTCCTTATACAGAGAAGGACTTACAAAATCATCATTTATCAGTCAACAAGAATGGGGAAAAATATGGGAGAGAGACAATGGAAATGTTTCATAGCACAACATCTCCCACTGGATGTAAGCAACAGTGATTAAAAAGCTCAATGTGCACAGAATATCCAACAGAACACTCCAAGGAACTTTGCCTGTGCCAGCAGAGAACCTTATTACATGAAGAAACAGAACTTTTCTTTTTTACTGCTAATTTATCACCAAAAAACTGACACATTTCTCTGCCATTTAGATACACTCCTTTAACAAGGATCTCTTGTTATTGGACTGCAGATAAGGCTAAAAATGTCTTTTAAAAGTATGTTTTAAACTTCTTCCTTTTGAAATGTTGTATTAAGTACTTGTTGCTTGAATTCAGTTGATAAGCACTGAGTTTAGTTGTCTTGAAATAAAAGGATGTTTCTGCTCCCCATTGCTTCTTATTTCAGAGGCCTCAGATGTGGCTCATCTCTTATCTCTGCATCACATGGAGTCATAAATGCCTCTTGTTTTTTATGTTCTTCAGCAAATTGTTGAAATTCAGCACTGAAGGTCTGTGACAGTGAACAAATCCCCCTGACACTCTCTGTTATATGTATCTAATTAGAAGCACATTTTATAAGAGTTCTTCAAAGGGCTACAGCTGTATTTTTTTCTTATATGTGGGAGTTCAAGACAGCTGCATTATCTGACAGAAGCATCACAATGCTACAGCCATCACATAACAGCAAGACAAGAACTGTGATGAATACACACTTGACCAAGCAGGAGATACTGAGAAGGGGCACAGCAGTGACAATGAAGCTTATTATTTTTATGGAGATCCACACTGGAAAGAGGTATAACTAGGTTAATGCTGAAGCCTTGAATAGTAAACATGAGTTTATAACCCTCTGCAAAGAATTTTGAGAAGAATTAGGTATTTCATGATTTATTGATACTGTGTAGTTACGTTCACTATGAACCATCACACATGAATATAAGATTTATTTTTTTTCTTGGTGAATGGAAAACTCAGATATTAAAATACCTATACCACTAATGACAACCTACAATTAGGTATTTCATGATTTATTGATACTGTGTAGTTACGTTCACTATGAACCATCACACATGAATATAAGATTTATTTTTTTCTTGGGGAATGGAAAACTCAGGTATTAAAATACCTGTACCACTAATGAGAACCTATACATTTCTCTTCACACTTCCGTCAAAGTTGGCTAAGTCACATTATCTCCAATTTACTAACAGGGAAACTGGAGGTCAAAGAAATTAAATCCCTTCACTTAATACAATGGAAAAAATGATCACAAGGGCACAAGAAGCAAAGGTTCAGGTAGGCCACAACTGCCTTTGATATAAATATGGTCAGCAGAGCTGACATATAATACTGTGTCATACTTTGCCTGAAGGAGAAATATGTCCCATACCTTTCAATCATAAATAGCCAGGAATTCTTATAGATATGAGTATTGTTAATTAAATATTTTTTTTCCAAAGAACTTTACATGGCATTTCTATTGCTTCCAAATTCTTTTCTGATATGTGAGTCAGTTACAAACACATTTGTCTGGGGTATACAAGGATTGAGACCTACATTGTGGAATTCAAAGGAATTCAAAGGAATTGAATTGTTGTAATGATTTGCTATTTATTTTATTTTTAGAAATCTACATAATTTTAGTTTCATATGCTTCCAAATCTGAAAATATTTCCCAAGATCCTACTGCATTCAGGAAAAAGAAACTGAAGGAATTTCTGAAATTATAATTACTACATTTACCACAGTAATTAAATATGTGATTATGGTATCTGGACAACAGTACTTGAGTTGTTCAAAGATTACCTAGAGTCCAGCATGTCTGGGAAGAGCAACTCTTACCAGTAAGAACTGTCCACAATATAATTATCTTTGTTTCTAAAGTTATTTTTTCCCTAATTTCCCCAGTTTTTGAAGATATATCACTTAGAAACACAATTTTTTCAAATCTATCTCTTCCCCATCAAATATGGCAAAAAGCGAAATTCTGTATACTTAGCATCCATATACTATCTCTGCCCCTTGTTTCCATCAGTTCCATGTCTGGAACTGATAGAATCCCTTAGATTTCCCTGTGAGAAGTCCATCTGAAGCAGAAAGGACATCAGTCTACAGAGGGACTTCACATGGCTGCTTAGTAGGCACCAT